ATACTGATAAATAAGGGTCTCAAAAGACAAATGAATGCTGTATCAATTTTCCTTCCTCTAGTCTCTCCTGATTATGATCAAGAATTGACTTAAATCCTAGAGCTGTAAGAAGACTGAAATAAAAACACCCTCAGTATCTCCACCTCAGCTGCAGTACAGTGAATTACTTCCTATGACTCTTGTATTGATAGTCTTCGTAACTCCAACCAAACAACTTTGGTCCCTGATGGGTCTGGGTAAGAGAAGGGGAGAGAAGGTGTTGATAGGATTATATGATCCAGTTATGTGCGATTGTTATCAGGGTTAATAGTGAAAACTTGGAACTCTAATGGGAGTGGTGTGGCGCTGTGGCTCAGCATTGGACTGAGAACCACAAGGTCGGCAGTTCAAAGCTATCAGCTGCTCCTTGGAAACCCTATACAGAATCGCTATGAGTCACGACCAACTTGACAGCACTTAACAACAACAACATAGGTATAAAATGAGCCATCTCAGAAGCAGGAAGGGGGCTCTCACTACCATCACAGAAGAGTCAGGAGATCCCTGTACGTTGAACCTCCTAAACTCAGAGACAGAAAGCTGTGACACTGAAGAAGTAGCAGAGGAGAAGCAGCAGCTGGCCAAGAGCCTGAGCACCAACCAGAGTGCGCCCCAGCCCACAGAGCAAGGAAAGCTAAGTGTCTTTGGGCAGGAGGCTCACTTGTAGAGTGGGGTGCCTCCAGGCACTTCACTAGGGAGCTGGGTTTGCTGACCCACAGATCTAGAGCTTAGCATCTTTGGGATGAGGTTTATAGGGTAGTTGAGTGCCCTTTGAGCATTTATTAGCTGCCCTAAAAGAGCACTGTAACATTGCCAGAGCAGGACAGAGGCCAGCCAAGGGACCAAGGGCCAGAGAAAAGGCCTGCCTGTGAGCAGACAAGAGGAGATGCTGTCCTGATTGGAGGAAGTATGCCTGAACATTGTAACCTGTTAACGTCCGCAATAAAGCCCATGGCTGTGAGCATGGTGTCTGAGTTCTGTGTTGTCAATGAACCTAGCTGAGTAGAGTGTTGTGGGAGGGATAGTTGGTGCCACATGTTTTACACCAGTGAGCTACCAACCGAGAGAAAATTGAGTAGAAGTGGATGTAACCAAAGGAAAATACATACTTCTATGAAAACAATCATTACCATTTGTAGTCATGCAGGGGGGAAAAAGCTGTTGGGAAGAGACCTCATCAGTTAACAAGCAAATTGTCAAGTTTTATGAACTGGCATTAGCACACATAAACTTGAACAGTCTATGTACTCTGAAATATACCTGATTATCTTGGTTTTCAAATCTCGAAGGAAAACTGGAAATTGTTGGAGAGGCTGCGAAGAGTTTTTGGAGTTTTGTCTCAATTTCAGCAAGCTGCTGATGCTCTGCAGTGGCCAGCATGTATCCTTCTCCTGGGACCAGCCAGCCAGTGGGGTCACCCTGAGAGGAAACAACAGTCACCAGGTCATTCCCATTCTATAGACTGCTAAGTCAATGTTCAGGACTTCCCCCAAACAACCAAGCAGAATTCGTACTGGGATCGTGAAACAATAAAATTAACTAGCATATGGTTTATCTATCTGCCAACCCTGGATAAAGTGTTCTTTTACTTTCTGCTGATTTCCTCTTCTTCCTCTACTCCCTCACCCCAACTCTGTGAAGTAAACCCCACAGTCGGGTTCTCGAAACATTTTTTTTTCTCTTCCATAAAAAACATTTTGTGTGATATGTTGAATAGTAAAAAATCTGGTTTTGCCTTCCAATGGTCCTGATATTTTCAAACTATGTCTCTGAAACGTAACAAAGGGTCTATAAGTTCTGTTGCTAGGATTTCATGAAATTACTTGGTCATCTAACACCGTGTTCAATTAACAACAGCTTCATATTGTCTTTTAAATTTTCTAACAATCATAAAGATGGCACAGGACCGGGCAACATTTCATTCTGTCGTGCATAAAGTCGCCATGAGTCAGCATCACCTCAATGGCAAGTAACACCACCAAATAATAATCATTCCAAGAAAAACACTCAAACTGAATGCCAACTGTGCATAGGTATTTCACTGGGCACTGATGATTCAATAAGAAAGAATCACACAGAGTTCTGCTTTTAAGCATTCTCAGTCTTTTGGCAGAGATCATTGTAATTAGGTGTGAAGGATGCCAGTAGACCCAGGGCACCTTGGGAACTAGGGAAGAAGGTCAATTAAGCTCTGTGGATAAGAGAGGCTTCCTGAAAAACTTCGTATCTCTTTCCCTTTACCCTTCAACCTCTCTTTCTGCTGAAAAATGGACACACTGCCTGCAGATATGCCTGCAGCAATCTCAGACCCTAAAGACAAATGTCTCACTAAGGACACCACTGCCGTCAAGACAATTCCAACTCATAGCGACCTTTCTATAAAGGGTTTCCAAGACTGTAAATCTTTATGGGAACACACAGCTTCATTTTTATACCATGGGACAGCTGGTAGGTTTGAATTACCAACTTTGCAGTTAGCAGCCCAACACCTAATCCATAGCTCCTTTGCACTAAAGCCCACAAGGACTCCTTTGCTCTAAGGTCATGAAGCAGGAAAACAAATGGGTACTTGCTCACACTGGGGTTTTTTTTACTGAGAAAAATTAACCCCTTGTTTAAGATACTTTATCAAATTTTCTTACTTGTACCCAATCATATTCTCAACAGATTTACCATTTCACAGGTGTCCTGTGTGGTTCTGTGTGCTAATGCATCAGACTACAAAGTCGCTTGAACTGCAAGGTTGGTGGTTCAAGCTCACCAGCTTCTCCTTGGATGAACTATACAGGTCACTATGGGTTGGAATCAACTCCATGGCACTTAACAACAACAACAGGTATCCCAAAAGGAGAGAAGACAGATAATGGAGAAGACAATCTCCTAAACTAAGGAAATATTTAAACCTTCCAATAAAAAGATTCTACAAGGTAGCAAAAAAACCAAAAGGGTTTTTAAAGACAAATATTCTGAAAAATTTGGTGAATGTTAAAAATAAAGAGGAAATTATACATGCTTCTGTAAAGAAAGAGTTTTGCTTCTGAAATTTAGTTACTGCCCAAGTCATAATTCAAATAGGGACAAATTGACCAACTTTTTTGATATGCAGACACTCGGTAATTATTCCACATACCATCATTTGTTATACTGAAGTTCTCTGACTAGGAAGGGACTGCCTGGGCAATCCTGCCAGCCCCTTTGTTGTTCTTATTGTTGTTGTTAGGTGCCATCGAGTCAGTACCGACTCATAGTGACCCTATGCACAACAGAACCAAACACTGCCCGGTCCTGGGCCAAGCTCACAATTGTTGCCATGCTTGAGCCCATTGCTGATGCCATTTTGCCAATCCATCTCGCTGGGGGTCTTCCTCTTTTTCTCTGACCCTCCACCTTACCAAACAGGATCTCCTTCTCCAGCGACTGGTTCCTCCTAACAATATGTCTGAAGTATGAGAGATGAAGTTTGGTCATCCTGGCCTCCAAGGAGCACTCTGGCTACATTTCTTCCAACACAAATTTGTTTGTTCTTTTGGTAGCCAATGGCACCTTCAATAATCTCCTCCAACACCATAACTCAAAAGCATCGATTCTTCTACAGTCTTCCTTATTCCCTGACCAGCTTTCGCATGCATATGAGGTTACTGAAAATACCATGGCTTGGGTCAGGTGCACCTTAGTCCTCAAGCTGACATCTTTGCTCTTCAACACTTTAAAAAGGTCTTGTGCAGCAGATTTGCCTAATGCAATACGTCATTTGATTTCTTGACTGCTGCTTCCATGAGTGTTGATAGTTGATCCAAGAAGAATGAAGTCCTTGACAACTTCAATCTTTTCTCCGTTGCTGGTGTTAAGTGCCATCAAGTCAGCTCTGATTCATATGGGCCCTGTGTAGGGTTTCCAAGGAGTGGCTGGCGTGTTTGAACTGCTGACCTTGTGGTTCAAACTGACCTTGCAGTTCAGTGCATTATCCTACAGCACCACACCAGGACTCCAGGGGCTTGAATGTTGTTAATAATGTTGTTGTTGTTGTTGTTGTTGTTAAGTGTTTTCAAGTCTGTTCCAACCCATAGCAACCCTGTATAGGATTTCCAAGGAGCAATTGGTGAGCTTGAACCACTGATGCTGTGGTTCAAACTGACTTTGCAATCCAGCGAGCGCATTAACCCACAGCACCACACAAGGACTCCTAGGGCTTTAATACAGGGCATAAACACACTGTCAGACATTATTAAGAACACACAAACAGCAGAAAACAAAAGAGGGGGCTGAGAGCTCCTAAAAATTACAAACTTCTGTACAACAAAAAATTTCACCCAAAAACTAAAATGGGAACTCACTGACTGGGAAAAAGTTTTTTTTCCAATGGTAAATCAGACAAGGCACTAATCTCAAAAATCTATAGAAAACTATAACAACTCTACAAGAGAAAGGCAACCCAGTTAAAAAATGGGTACAGCACATGAACAGACACTTCATCAAGGAAGACATTCAGGCAGACAACAAACATATGAAGAAATGTTCACTATCATTAGTCATTGTTGTTGTTATTAAGTGTCATCAGGTCAGTTCCAAATCCATAGTGACCCTGTACAGCGTTTCCGAGGAGCAGCTGGTGAGCTTCAACCACTGACCTCGTAGTTCAAACTGACTTTGAAGCCCAGCGCATTAACCCATAGCGCCACACCAGGACACCATTAGCCATTAGAGAGAAGCAAATCAAAATAACAATGAGATATCATCTCACCCTAACATTAGTACTAAAGTTAAACACACACACACACACACAACACAAAAAATGCTGACAAAGGTGTGGAGAGACCGGGACCCTGCTACACTGATGGTGGGATTCTAAAATGGTTCAACCACTGTAGAAAATAGTATGGCACTTCCTCAGAAAGTTGGACAAATACCGTATGACCCAGCGATCCCTCTACTTGGTATATATCCATAAGAAATAAAGTAAGAGCCAGGACTCAAGTAGATAGATGCACATTAATGTCCACTGCAGCACTGTTCACAATATCAGAAAGATGGAGACAGCCTAAGTGCCCATCAATGGAAGAATGGATAAACAAACTTTGGTATATACACACAATAGAATACTATGCAATGTTGAAGAATAACAATGAATCTGCAAAACACCAGTAACATGGAAGAACCTGAAGGACATTATGCTGAGTGAAATTAGTCAATCACAAAAGGATAAATATTATATGAAACCACTATAGTAAGAACTCAAGAAAAGGTTTTCATAGTAAAAAAAAAACATTCTTTGATGGTTACCAGGGGTGGGAGGGAAGGGAGAATAATTCACTGGCTAGAGGGCAAATCCACTGTCCTAAACCTCTTTAAAGTGTTGAAGAGCAAAGACGTCAGTTTGAGGACTAAGGTATGTCTGACCCAAGCCATGGTATTTTCAGTAACCTCATATGCATACGAAAGCTGGACAGTGAATAAGGAAGGCTGTAGAAGAATTGATGTATTTGAGTTATGGTATTAGAGGAGAATATTAAAAGTACCATGGGCTGCTAAAACAATAAACAGATCTGTGTTGGAAGAAGTACAGTCAGAATGTTCCTTGGAAGCTAGGATGGCCAGACTTCATCTCTCATACTTTGGTCATAGTATCAGGAGGGACTAGTCCCTGGAGAAGGATACCATGTTTGGTAAAGTGGAGGATTAGATAAAAAGAAGGAGACACTCAATGAGATGGAGTAGCACTGTGGTGGCAGCAATGGGCTCAGGTTTAGCAACAATTGTGGGATTAGCAGGGGGACTGGGCAGTGTTTCATTCTGTTGTGCATAGGGTCACTATGAGTCGGTGGCAATTCGATGGCACCTAACAATAACTACAGAGGGTAGACACATGTCATTAGGGTGATGGGGTGGGCAATATATAAGAAGGGGGAGGGTAATGTACAAGAAGACACTGAAAGGTATATAGGGCTACAGGGAATAGAGATAAATAGTGATATATGGACAACCTTGGAACAGCAATGCTCTGTGGGTAGATACATGGACAGAGACACAGGCTGAATGTGTATGGGAGGGAGAGTGGGAGCATACCCACAAATAAGAGCTTGAAAAAGGATATTTGTACATGGGTATTTACATTTCAAATCAGCAAAACAACTAAGAATGGTAGAACACACAGGAGACAAAATGAGGAAAACTTCTTAGATATTATCAAACATCTTAAGGCAATGAGTTGATGAGTCTGGTAGCTCAGGACCATAGTCTCAGAGGACACCATGGTCAACTGGCATAGCATAGTCCACAAAGACAAAGACTTTGGTGAGTAGCATCTGGGATCTTAAAAGCTCATAACTGGCCATCTATTGGTCTCTCATTGTGCAGAAGAAAGGAGGGTGATGAGAGTTAAAGAAGCTTGGAACCAATTAATCCAATAGACTAACTGAACATATGAACATCAATCTCCACAACTCTAAGACCGGAAGAACTAGATGGTGCCCAGCTAACACTACCAATGACTCTGAAAGGGATCACAATAGAAAGTCTCAAATAGACTTGGAGAATATGTAGAACAAGACTCAAAATTATTAATTAAAAAAATAAGATCAGGCTCACTGGTCAGAAAGAGACTAGAAGGGCATGAGGTTATGGCCCTCAACCACCCTTCAGTTCTGGAAAGGAACTCAACCTCGTGGCCTAATTTTAAGCCAAGCAGTAGCTAGATACAGAGGGAGGACAACAACACTAGTCAGGTATGTTCTGTATGGAATGGTCAATCATTTAAAATTAAAAGGACAACATTTACTTAAGGACAAAGTTGAGAAGGGCTGGGAAGGTGGGTGGAATGGAAATCGTACCACAGGTTAGAAGCGGGATAACTGCCACGTCATGGAGGGACGGCCGTCAATGAAATGAAACAAAATGGATGATTTAGTGAATGTAAAACAGATGATCTTATTTGTAATTCACACAAAAAAATATTTTTTATAAAAAAAGATACTTATTTTCCGCAAATTTTTTAAACTTTTTATTGTGAATTGAATTTCATCTCAATGACTTCAATCCCTTCAACGAAACATCACTTATTCCACCTCTTCCCTGTGTTGCCTGTTTTCACTCCTCCTTTCCCAACCCTTCTGAACTTTGTACTTGGGTAAATGCTGCCCTTTTGATCTCAAGTGGCCAACGATTCCATGGTGTGTGTATCTGACTT